TATAATAATATATATATATATATATATATATATATATATTCAACTTATATTATTAGATTATTAAATTTCATTTAAATTTGAAGTTTGAAATTTTTCAATAAATATTTTATTTATCTCTGAATTGCAATTTTCTTTTTATAATTTATGAATTAAATATTTTTTTATGAAATAGTAAATAAATATACATTTTATCAAGTATCTATATATATATTTATTATCGAAAATAAATATTTGTAAAAATTTCATCGAACATTTGCACTTATTGTTAATAAATTTATACATACATACCTTTCTTATGATCGAATCAACTGGTGGTTAGGAGGAGACTTCAACTGCACTAGCAGTGTACAGACTGAATTGCTTGAGGATGAATGAATAACATTTATAGCTTGCAATCTTAAAATATAATTACAAATTTACAATATATTTCTATAATCTAAACATATCAAATATGTTTTGCTAAATATATATATATTTAAATAAATTTTTAAGAATTTTTTCTATTTTCTATTTATATAATATACTTACACAATTTACGTTTCCTCCTAATAATACCTGCGTTTTATGCATTTTCCTCAACAAAATAGAAGATCTTGATTCAAAGATCAAAATTATTCTCTTAGATTTTTCAATTAAATATTACATTTTTGTTTCGCGTAAATGCATTAAGAACATTCCAGCTGATTTGTTTCGTGCTTCTTTACAATAATCTGGAAAATAAAAAAATCATGATGGAGAACACGAAAACTCATCGATCAATTTTCATGTATTCCGGAAAATCGTTTTGTGACGAGCAAAGCTTTTTTATATAAAAGAGTTCAATAACAAAATCGTGAAATCCAAGCGTAAATTTTTCCGATCTATCCTTTATCCATGCACCAATTTGTGATATATTTCATTACTGTGAGTGCTTGGTTTGATTGTTTTTGTTATACATGCCTGTAGATAATTTCAAATTTTTGTAATAAAGATGTGAAGATTAACTGAAATGAATTAAGAAAATATAAGTAGAGATGCATGAACAATATTAATATTGTAAAATATTATTTACATGTATCAGATCAAAAAATATATATTGTAAATGTAGATTTGTATGGTAATATCATATGGATAATTTTATATCTTAAGTTGAAGAGCTTCTAAATGAGATATGTTTTGTTGAATTTGTAAAATGTATGTTGAATATATGTTTCCATTATCTATTTACTGAAATAGTAACATCAAGATGCATATGATGATAACAGCAAAGTTGTTACGTTTCGTCCTCGATTTCTTAAGAATTCTTCCTGAATTAATTTCAGACATTTTTCTTTACAAACATTTTCTTCACAATTTTGTAAATGAATTATTAAAAAAAAAATAATTTTTTTTTACACCGAAATTACCAAAAATATCAACAATCATAATCTTCAATCTTCAATATACGATACATTTTATTATTTAATACCACTGTTTAATAAAAAATATATATATTATTTTATTTTTTTATTAAACACTATCACTATCTTTTCGATTGACATTAAGTAATACATATTTTTTAAAATCACATTTCATTCGTAAAAGCATTTTTTTTTATAAATTTTATTGCTTCGCTAACATATCTAATTTAATCTCTATCACTGTATCAAGTACACATTATACTATTTTCAACGAAGTGAAAAATAAACTTATGGATTACCGTCGCCAATAATTATGGAAGTACAAACTATGGAGTATATTTATTGATCGATGTACTTTATCCGTAACATCGTGTGTATACCATTCAGTCGTTTCTCCGACTTCGTTGAGGAAACACGATGGCAGATGACATTGTTGCGATTCAAAAAAAATTTGGCAGTTTAAACGAATATAGCATACAATTAAATAGATGGTTTTCGAAGACGATAGGTGTATGGCCACTTCCATCCTCTTCCTCAAAATTCGAGAAGATAACAACGAAGATTCTAATTTTCCTCTATTGGATTATCGTGCTATTCATCATAATAGCAAGCTTATTACATTTCATTCTCGTGAAAGAAGATATAGTCTCGAAATTAAAGACACTTGGCCCAATAAGCTATTGCTTCGGTGGAGGGCTCAATTATGCAGTATTATTACTTCGTAAAAACGATATACGTTATTGCATAGAACACATAGAATCCGATTGGAAGGTGATCACGAGGATGGGGGATCGGCAAGTGATGCTTAAAAACGCAAAAATTGGTCGCGTTATTTCCTGTTGCATCGCGGGCTTCATGCAAATTGGTACTCTTTCTTTTTGCACCATTCTGGGAGTTTTTAAACGAACAATCAAAATCGGCAACGATAGCATGGAAATATATGTCTTACCATTTCCAACTTATAAAATTCCAGTTGATACTAATCCAGGGCATGCCATCATTCTTGGTTTGCAATATCTGACGTCATACATAATGAGTGCTACTGTTGTTATCGCTTTCAGCCTTGCTACAGTATTTGCATGTCATGCTATTGGTCAGTTAACTATAATGGTTACGTGGATCCAAGAATTTGTAAATCAGCCACAAAAAGAAAATAAAAATGTACACATTGATGAAATAAGTGTAATCATCGAGCATCATTTGAGAATTCTAAGGTAACATTTTTAAGTATAGTTTCTTCCTGTTTCTATTATCTTTCTCTTTTTATCTATTTATCTATCTCTCTCTAGAAATTTTCTCTAATTACATATTAACTAAAGTTTCCTAGAACGTACTGAACATCTATTGAGCCCAATATGCTTCATGGAAATGTTCAAGAATATATTGAGTATATGCATGTTTAGCTATTGCATTCTTGCGGTATGCTATTTTTGCAAATTTAATTATATTTATTAAGATTTTTGTTTCCAAAATTTATAATTAGTGTTATGTATTTTTTTATTGAAAATAATTTGGTTGGTCGCATGTTGATGTACTATACAGATGATCCAAATTTCATTACTATCACTGTAAACAGAAATATTAAAACATAAATTTTTAAGACATTGATTTACGATATAAATATGTTAAATTCTTCACTTTTAATAGAATCATCCAATTTGTCATAGAATAAGATTCATTTGTATTAATTTTTTAAACTTAAGATATATTATCATTAAGAATTAAGTCTAATATCTCTTTTTAGAAATGTGAAACATCTTAATTAATTATTCCGAAATAATTGAAATTAATTAAATGAATCTTTCTATGTAATGTTCGTAATTTCTGTCGTAATTTTTTCTCACAAATTCAAGTAATAAGAAAATCATTAGATTAATATGAGCAAGCGTAATTAGATAATCAATCTAATTAAAAATATTCATTTTTTCTCAGGAATGGTCTGAACATGATATTAGGGTCCTCGGTATATATGCTTTTGCAGTAATATGTATAACTTTAAACACATTTTTAATATGTTATATCGGTGAAGTATTAACTGAAAGATGTAAAGAAATTCGTAACATGGTCTATATGACAAATTGGTATCGATTACCTGATAAAGATATTTTTAATCTGATTATGATTATTACACGATCTGGCGTGGAATACAAAATGACTGCTGGAAAGATAATTGATATATCGGTAATCACGTTTGGTAATGTACGTCTGAGTTTTTTCAACTTTTTATGAAATATATCATTAATTGAAATACATACATCGAAAATATTCATACAAATATATTTACAATTTCAGATTGTAAAAACTGTATTTGTGTACTTAAATATATTACGACAAATGACAATACTGTAAATTTTTATGTATAAACATTTTTTATATATTGAGCACAAAAAATATGTATTAAATATTCAAAAAAATATTTAAAAATAAATTTTGCATATTATTAATTACATTTGAATAAATTTGAAAGTATAAAAAATATTTGTTTCCTTTATAATTCAATTGCATAAGTCAATTGCATCTCTCTCTTTGAAAGATTCAAATTTGCAATCTTATAATATTATTATTATAATACATTTCCATATACTATAAAGAAAATTTAAAAATTTTTTTCTATTTATATAATACTTATATATACTTACACAATTTAAATTGAACGTAATTTTATGATACAGTCAAATTAATGAAAAGAAATCAATTATAAATTAAAAAATTAAAATTAATTTTTTTATCGTGACATATTCAATATGAAATTTAATACAGTTTGCGAAATTAAAAAACCAATTAAATTATTAAAAGAAAGAATATAAATTTTTTACCTTGATTAATTAACTTTTTGATATTATCTGACATCATATTTTCAAATCTTCAAATATTTAAAATATTCTTTTTATAAATTTTACTTCCTAAAAAGAAGAAATCCACTTTTTTAATCATTGGTCTATAATTATTATTATTAGAAAACATGTATAAAAAAATTATTCACTATTATTCTTAAGAAAAATATTCTAATTAAGACACAAAACAAAAATATCACAATATAAAACGTATCTAAAAATTAACCTCTTTAATATTATCACTGTATATGCAATATCTTTTCATTTTAATATAAGCATCTATGAATCGAGTCAACTGGTGGTCGACAGAGAGTTTAATCGCACTCGTAACAATTCGCACGAATCGATTTATCGTTAGTTGAAAGTGAAGCACGTACTATCGAAAAGCTTCGATAATCGATACTATCATTTTTGCATTTTCTTTCAATTATCTGTACATTTGCTTCGTAAATTATCATTGTTATATTCATACTTACAAACTCGCCATCCATTTATAGTAGAGATTGGATATCCAAATAAATTGTTAATTGTTAATATCGATCGATTATTAATAGATAATTCTTCTCTTTTCACTGAGAAAATTCAATCTCTGATGATTCAACAGTATCTGGAATATAAAAAAAATGATGAAGAACGCGAGAATTGGAAATTTTCGATCTTTGGATCTTTGGAAATTTTCAATTTTATATATTTCGATGTTAATGATTCTTCTATGTTATTGTGATGAACTCTTTACACGAAACATAAAGATAGAGATGATTGATAATGAGATCGTGAATTTCTTCTACACACCATTTTGTCCTTTGAAATCGTGGATTTGATACTTGGTTGAATTTGTGATATATTCCATTATTCAAATGCTTACAATTTGGTTTTTTTTATTATAATTATCAATTGTGAACAGTTTGGAATTTTTGTAACGAAGTTTGATCAATAATCTGAAAGAATGAAGAAACGCATAAACAACAATTAAACAATATTGTGGAACATTATATATTAGGATAAAAAAATATGTAAATTTAAATATATTATAGTTAGTATATTATAGATAGTATTATATTGTGCTTATGAAAAATTTTCAGTTTTATGTCTTAAAAAAAAAAAAGATTTTAAATGAGTTTCGTTGAATTTATAGTATATGTTATGTTTCATTCTCAATTTTTTAAGAATGGAAACAAAATGAAATTACAGATATTAATTCATTATATATATAATTTGTTTATATTATATTATATATAATAATATAATTTGTTCAATATTTATATTCATATTATGGTGAAATTTTATCGGAACAGATATTATATTTTTTTATAAATTATTTCTTATTAATTGAAGTAAAAAGTAAAATTCATTTTTAATTATCATAATGCAAAATATTAGTTTGTCTTGCATGATGAATTGACATCATTTACTAAGAAAAAAAAAATTTAATATTGATATTTTCAATTTCGAATTCAACAAGATTGAAGAACTAGAAAATTCAAGTGAAAGAGTGAGTGAAAGATTCATTTATTATGGATAAATTTCATAATCCTAATATGCAACTAAACAATAGAAGTTTTTGAATTCTGTAACACATTTAACGCAGACAGAAAAATTAAAATTTGATTTCTTTCTTCGAAGAAGAAGATCGAAAATCAAAAAAGTTAATAATCATATACTACACTTCGTTATTTGAATATCATTATGATTATTAAAAAGAAAAAAATGTTTATTTTATGTTCTATTATTTTTCATTTATTAATTTCTCGATTAACATTATAATATTATAAGTAACATTAACATATAATATTTCAAAATAATATTTCACTTATAGAATCCTTTTTTTGAATTTTATTGTTTTGTTAAAATATATATATATATATTATATATTAATTTCATTATTAATTATAATGTAATTATTATCACTCCATCGAATACGTATTGTACAACTACTCTTCAACGAAGTAAAACGTAAATGCATGTATTAAGTATTGGCACATAACTATTGGCAACGGAGTGTATCGATCGGCGCACATCATCTGTACAATATTGTGTGTATATCATTCAGTCGTTTTTGTAACTTCATCGAGACAATACGATGGCAGATGACATTGTCGCGATTCAAAAGAAATTTGGTAGTCTGAATGAGTATAGCATACAATTGAACAGATGGCTCTCGAAAATGATAGGTGTATGGCCACTTCCATCCTTCACCACAAAATTCGAAAAGATAATGACGAAGATTCTTATTTTTTTCTATTGGATCATTTTATTATTTATTATAATAGCAAGTTCATTACATTTTATTCTTGTGAAAGAGGATATCGTTTCGAAACTAAAAACACTTGGCCCTATAAGCTACTGCTTTGGGGGAGGATTCAATTATGCCGTGTTGTTGCTTCGCAAAAACGATATACGCTATTGTATAGAGCACATGGAAACTGATTGGAAGATAATTACAAGGAAGAAGGATCAGCAAGTGATGCTTAAAAGCGCGAAAATTGGTCGTATCATTTCCGGTTGCATCGCGGGTTTTATGCAAATTGGTACTTTTTGTTTCTGTATCGTTTTGGGAGTTTTGAAACGGACAATCAATATCGGCAACAATAGCATGGAAATATATGTCTTACCATTTCCAACATATAAAATTCCGGTTGATACTAATCCAGGACACGCCATCATTCTTAGTTTGCAATACCTGACGTCATACACAAGTAGTGCTACTGTTGTTATCGCTTTCAGTCTTGCTACAGTATTTGCATATCATGCTATTGGTCAATTAACTATAATGATTACGTGGATTGAAGAATTTGTAAATCAATCACAAGAAGAAAATAAAAATGTACGCATTGATGAAATAAGTGTAATCATCGAACATCATTTGAGAATTCTAAGGTAACATTTTTTATATAGTTTCTTTCTGTTTCTACTGTCGTTTTCTTTTTATCTATTTATCTATCTCTCTTTAGAGATTTTCTCTAATTACATATTAACTAAAGTTTCCTAGAACGTACTGAACATCTATTGAGCCCAATATGCTTCATGGAAATGTTCAAGAATATATTGAGTATATGCATGTTTAGCTATTGCATTCTTGCGGTATGCTATTTTCCAAATTTAGATATATTTGTTAAGATTTTCGTTTCCAAAATTTATAATCAGTTTTGTATATTTTTTTTTGTTGAAAATAATTTGGTTGATCGCACATTGATATATTACACAGATGATTCGCAAATTTCATTACCATCACTGTAAACAGAAATATTAAAACATAAATTTTTAAGACATTGATTTATGATATAAATATGTTGAATTTTTCACTTTTAATAGAATCATCCAATTTGTCATAGAAAAAGATTCATTTCTTATTAATTTTTTAATTTTAAGATATATTATTATTGAGAATTAAATCTAATCTGTTTCTGGAAATGTGAAACACTAATTAATAGATAATTGATATTGTTCAATTAAAGATAATTGAAATTAATTAAATGAACCTTATTCTATGTGTCGTAATTTTTTATAAATCTCACAAATTTAATAATATAATAAGAAAATCATTAGATTAATAACAATATCGGTAATCAATCTAATTAAAAATATTCATTTTTTCTCAGGAATGGTCTGAACGTGATATTAGGGTCCTCGGTATATATACTTTTGCAGTAATGAATATAATTTTAAGCACATTTTTAATATGTTATATTGGTGAAGTACTAACTGAAAGATGTAAAGAAATTGGTAACATAGTTTATATGACAAACTGGTATCAGTTACCTGATAAAGATATTTTTAATCTGATTATGATTATTATACGATCTGGCGTGGAATACAAAATGACTGCTGGAAAGATAATTGATATATCGGTAATCACGTTTGGTAATGTACGTCTGAGTTTTTTCAATTTTTTTTGAAGTATATATTTTTGAAGTGATAATATATTAATTGAAATATATTATCGAAAATATTCATACAAATATATTTTCAGATTGTAAAAACTGTTTTTGTATACTTAAATATATTACGCCAAATGACAATATTGTAAAATGCACATGTATTGAGCATAAAGAAAATATGTATCAAATATACATTTAAAAATAAACTTTGCATATTATTAATTATATTCGTGAATGATTTTAAAAGATGAAATAAGAAATTTTTTTTTCATTCACAATAATCAAATATTGCATCTATTTCAAAAAGTTATAATTTGCAGTCTTATAATATTGTTATAAATATACATTTCCTATCAGCAAATTGTAAACACTTAGAAGAAAATATTAAAAAAATTTTCTATTTATGTAATTTACTTATACCGATTTAATTGAAATGAACACTTAAAATTACAATTACACTCAACATCATATATTATAACTTGATCATTTTTTTTTAAATCTTAAATACTTATTAGAATTGTTAAAAAAACAGATTAAAAAAAAATATTAAATAAAAAATAAATCTTCTTCATTCACACTTCTTCAATTTCAGAATGACATGTAGCACATTTCTAAATCGTGTTACAAATACCGAAAATACATATGAATTCGATTATTAATGCTGTAGAAATCAAATTATATATTTATAAAGAAAATACAGTTTTTAGTTTTAGTTTCAGTTTTAGTTTCTACTGCACACACATCGCCGAATTCATGCTGTTACTATTAACAATTTGAAATGAATATACTCACATAAGTTTCATTAACTGTATCAAATCGATCGGCGCATATCCTTTGACAAAGTATGCGCAAGCGTTAGATAAATACAATGCACCGAATCCTCGATTCAGTTGCATGCGCGATTTTGTTGTGACTGCACGATGGCAGATGATCTTGCAAAAATCGAAAAGAAATTCGGTAATCTTTCCGAGTACAGCATACAATTCAATCGATGGATATTGAAACCGATAGGTGCATGGCCGGCCTCACTTTATAAGTCAAGAATCGAAAGAATCGTTTCAAAAATTTTAATCGTCATTTGTTTGATCTCTTCGTTATTCACGTTAATTCCGGGTGTGCTTCACGTTTTCCTAGAAAAAGAAGATATTTACGTGAAATTGAAAATTTTAGGTCCTCTGACTCACTGGTTAGTTGGAGGATTCAATTATGCTGTGTTGTTGCTATGTAAAAATGACATACATTATTGCATAAAACAAATATGCGCCGATTGGAACATTATTACAAAGAAGCAAGATCAACAAGTGATGTTAAAAAACGCGAGATTTGGTCGCTACATCGCAGTTTTCTGTACAGTTTTCTTACAAGGTGGCGTCTTTTGTGCTTGTCTTGCATTGGGGGCGTTCAAAAAGACTATTAAAATCGGTAACGAGACTATGGACATATACAACTTACCTTGTCCAGCTTATAATATGCCAGTTGATACAAATCCAACACACGATATTATATTGGGTACGCAATTATTGTCCGCATTTATATGCAGTTCAAGCACCGCTGGCGCTTTTAGTTTTGTTGCTGTGTGTGCAAGCCATGCTCTTGGTCAGTTGAATCTGATGGTGATATGGATCAATGAATATGTTAATCAGCCAATGGAATTAAATAATAATGGCTATGTTAACAAATTAGGTATAATCGTCGAACATCATTTGAGAATTCTAAGGTAATTATTTTTGAATTTTTTTTTTTATTGTTTTTATAGAGAATTTCTCTATTTATTTTTTACAGTTTCATAGCACGTATTGAACATGTGATGAGTCCAATATGCTTCATGGAAATGATTAAGTGTATGCTGGGAATATGCATGCCTATATATTATATTCTTACGGTAAATATGTGTATAACAATTTTATAGATTTATTGGCTAAATGCAAAACTTTTTAAATGAATTATAATAAAATAGTGAAGGAATCTTTTCGCATTTTTCAATATTTTCTATATTTTCATTATGATTATTTAATTTACCATTAATGATGAAAATTTACATATAATTTTTCCAATCCATGAAATAACAAATATAAAAAAATGCAATTTTTTTATCCATTTTACACTGAAATAATAAAAAAATTATTTGATTAATCTGAATAAGATAAATATATGAATAATCTTGTCGAATTAAAAATACTTATTTTTTCCTAGGAATGGTCTGAACATAATGTTCAAAATCTGGCAGTATATGTTATGATAATTATATCTATGACTTATAATATTTTTTTAGTATGTTATATCGGTGAAATTGTAACAGAAGAGGTAATTTATGTATTTTAATAAATAGTATTAGTTAATTGCATGATCAACACTTACCAATTGAATTTTTGATAGTGTAAGAAAATCGGTGACATAGTTTACATGACAAATTGGTACGAATTATCTGATAAAAATATTCTTAATTTGATGATGATCATTACACGATCTAGCATGAATATAAATATGACCGCTGGAAAGATGACTAATATGTCAGTGCTTACATTTGGTAAGGTATGTTTCCATAATTCTTTTGACTGAAAAATATAATTTTTATGCAATTTATAAAAAAATTGATGGAATAATTTGCCATTCCAGATAGTAAAATCAGTTTTCGCGTATTTAAACGTATTACGTCAAATTACAATGATATAAAATATACATGTATTCAACTATATACTTAAATATTAAACTTCATAATTTTTTAATTTAAATAAATTATTTATGTGAAATTGAAAATTCAACAAATATTTTTTTCACTTATATTTATACAGAATTAATTTTCTTTTTAATTTTCAATTTTTAAATTAAATATTTTTTTATAAAATAATAAGTGAATTTATATGTGAGTAAATATTTCTGAAGATATCATTGAATACTTACACTTACCTCTTCACTATATATACGTATATATACCTATATATTTCTCTACGGATCGAATCAACTGGTGGTTGAGGAGGAGACTTCAACTGCACTAGCAATGTATTGAATTGAATTTCTTATGATAAAATGATACATTTACAATTTCAAAATATTTCGCATAGCGTATCACATTCTAGATCATATTTCAAATGTTTAAAATAATTTTAATTTTTTATGAATTTATTCCCGATTTAATTCTTCATTGATCCATAGCACGCGCACATTACCAAATTCATTTCAGCTACTGTTACAACTTTAAATGTACGTATACTATTAACATATTCACTATGATTGAAAAAAAACAACTGACTAGACGAATCGATCGACGCGTATCCTTTGCGCAAGCGTTCGACAAACCAGTTCTCGATTCAGTTGTCTCCGCGACTCTGTCAAGGAAATCAGGGAAAGAACGCGATGACAAACGATGACATTAATGTGGCCAAACAGAAATTTGATAATCTCAGCGAATATAGTATAAAACTGAGTAAATGGTACTTGAAACCATTAGGCGCATGGCCTGCCTCATCTTCCACCACGAAGATCGAGAGAATCACATCGCAAATTTTGATTGTCATTTGTTGGTGCATAATATTATTTACGCTAATACCTGGCATACTTTACATACTTTTCGTAAAACAAGACATCTATGTAAAATTGAAGATATTCGGTCCTTTGTCTCACTGGTGTGTTGACGCGTTCAATTATGCCATATTGTTGCTACGTAAAAATGACATACTTCATTGCATAGAACATTTACGAGCCGATTGGAAGTTGATAACAAGAACGCAAGATCAACAAGTGATGCTGAGGAATGCAAAAATCGGCCGTTATATTGCAGCTTTCTGCGCAATTTTTATGCAAATCGTCATTTTCTTTACATGTTTCATATTGGGAATGTTCAAACGATCCATACATGTTGACAATAGAACTGTGGAATTGTACAACTTACCTTGTCCTGCTTATAAGATTCCATTTGATACCGATCCAACGATTCATGATATCATGCTTGGTACTCAGTTTCTATCAGCATTTGTCGTGAGTTCGAGCGCCAGTGCCTCTTTCACTCTTGCAACCATTTTTACATGCCATGTTGTTGGTCAGTTAAACATAATGGTCATATGGGTTAACGAATTCGTGGATCGCCTGCAAAAAGAGAATAAGGATAATCACATCAACAAAATAAGTGTAATCGTCGAACATCATCTGAGAATTCTGAGGTAATATATATTAATATACTTGTTTTGATATTTTTCGCAAATTTTTCTAATTATGCATTGATCGTAGTCTCATAGCACGTATCGAACGTATAACATGTCCAATATACTTCATGGAATTGTTCAAATGTATGATGGGTATGTGCATGCCTAGTTATTACTTTCTTGCGGTAGGCAAAATTTATTAAAATATATATATATATAACGATTTCATAGATCGATCAAAAACATAATTTCTGATTGAAACAATGAATATTTTATTTATTATATATCAAATATTTATATCGAAATTTGAATATGCATTTTTGAAAATTCGTTTTTTCTCTGTCGATCTATAATTGTTAATTATTTATTTTTATATTGAAAATAATTGATCTAATCACATTTTGACAAATATAAGAAACTTATACAAAAATATACATATGATGATCTTAGCTTCACGATATTTGAAATGAAAAGAAAATCAAATAAAATAATATAAGTATATTAATAATAAAAATAAAATTTAAATATTTCTCAGAAATTTTTGTTAATAATCATCAAATTTTATCAGGATTTAAATTAATTAATAAAAATAATATAACAGTTAAAATTAATAAAAATAATGTATATATGTATATATTATAGTATAGTAAAAAATAATATATTAGTAAAAATAATATACATAGTTTTGTTCTAGTATACTTTCGTATAGGTTTCTTTCCTTTTGCACTATAGTAAATTCTAGTAATATTATAAATTAGAAAAAATTATAATAATAATAAATAATTTATCTAAATAATATAAATATGATATGATATATTAATTGAAAATAAATTTTGATTTTTTCTTAGGAATGGTCTGAACACAATATTCAAAATTTGACTATATATGTTATGGTAGCTTTATCTATGTCTTTCAATATTTTATTGGTATGTTGTATCGGTGAAATATTAAAAGAACAGGTAATGAGTATACGATAATATGATATCTTAAACATAATTAATTCATTATTCGCCGAATTACTGACAGTGCAAAAAGGTCGGAGACATGGTTTACATGACGAATTGGTATCAGTTACCTGGCAAAGATATACTTAATTTAATTATGATTATTTCGCGATCTAGTATGGAAGTTAAAATAACTGCCGGAAAAATAATCACGATGTCAATATATACATTCGGTAATGTACGTTTTTTTAATTTCTGATTTTTATAAAAAAAATAATATTAATTTTCAAAAAGAATTATAAGATAATTTACAATTCCAGATAGTAAAAACAGTTTTCGCATATTTAAATATGCTGCGTCAAATAACAATGATGTAAATTGCACACATAGACAATGAATATACATATATATATATATATATTTAGACAATAAAATTTATTAGTTATGAATATAAAATTAAAAAATTAAAAAAAATAATCATTTCATTTTTTACTTGCGTATTTTATAACTGAAAATAATGAAATAATGAAATAGTTTTTGTAAAGCAATGAATTGATTTCAAATCTTGATTATTCTATGAAAAGATTATAATAATAATATGATTCGATTCGATATTTCAAATTTATCTACTAATTTTAAGAATGCAATATATTATTTAATCATACATATTTCATGTTCCACATCCGTGGTTTTATCAAAAGAACAGTATATCGGACGATCTCATGATGGCAAAAAAAAATTTGATAGTCTAAGTATACAATTAAACCGATTGTTTTTAAAGCCAACAGGCGCGTGACTTCTACTAAAAATGAAAAGAATCATTTCGAAAATTTTAATTCATTTCACATCATACTCAAGAAAAAGAAAATTTATTCGAAACTAAAATTGCTCGATCCTCTGATTCACTGGCATGTTGACGGATTTAATTACGTATTACTTCTACGTAAAGATGATATTACACTCATCATAAAGTACATACGAAACGATTGAAAATCCATCATCAAAATGAAAGATCTACGAATGATGTTGAAAAACGCAAAAGTCGACCATTACATTGCTTGCTTCTGTGCATTCTTTATGCAAGTTAATGTTTTCTGTGCTTGCATCATATTAGGAGCTTTTAAATAAACCAAGAGAGGGCCAATATGATCATGGACGTGTATACTTTACCTTATCCTCTATCTTACCTTATCTATATTCTATATTATTATCGATATCTATAATTCCATTTAATATCAATCCATAATGCCATCCTATATAATTTCTATTAGGATTCATCACGAACTCGAACGCCGTAGACGCCTTCAACCTTGCAATTGAATTGAATCATTAAATTCGTCAATCAAGCAAATTGTGAGAATAAAAAAAACAGAGTTCCAAAAGAAATAGTAATTATTGAACATTATCTGAGAGTTCTGAAATAACATTGTTTCAAAACTCTCAAATTATTATGTTTCGATATCTTTTCGTCCTTTTTTGAATATAGCACATTTGAACATTTAATCAAATATCCTTCATGGAAATGTTCAAGTAAATGTTGGAAATATGCATGCCTAAACATTTCTTATTACATCCTTATATAGTAGAAACGTGCATAAAGATTTTAGATCTACCGATTGGAAACAAAAATTTTAAAAATTGTTAAAATAAAACAATGAAAACAAATTTTTAATTTATATTCAACTATCGAATTATAATTATCATAATTAAAGAATATAATTTTTTATTTTTTTTGGTTCTTCTGTGTTCAAAATAATTTACCAGTTTGCAGATTAATAAATATTTCTCTTATCTTAATTAATATTTTATAAAATACATTATTTTTTAATTTTTAATTTTATAATTTATAATTTATTAATTAATAATATAATTTTATAATTTATAATTTATCTCATAAATAGGCATACAATAGCAAAGAAAGATTAATTGTAATTTATCTTATCAATTTAATTGAAAATATTTATTTTTTCTTAGAAATAAGCATAACATTCAAAATTTGATTATGTTATGATATTAAGTTATATCTATAACCATTAACATTTTTTTAATATGTTATATAAGTGAAATACTTTTGGAAGTTATGAAAATATAATATTACACATATAATCTTATATATTATCTATATGTAATTAATTAATCATATAATCAAACTTACCGGCCAAATTCTTAACAGTGTAAAAAATTTGGTGACATGATTTACATGACAAACTGCTATCAATTGCTCGATAAAGATTTTTAATTTAATTATGATCATTTTACGATCTAATATGGAAGTTAAAATAATCGAAAGATAATTATCATGTCCATGTAATATATGTTCTCTTAATTCTCTGCAAAAAAAAAATATTCAATAGGATTGAAATATTCAATGGAATAATTTGCGATTTCAGATCCAGTAAAAAACTGTTTTTGCATACCTAAATATGTTGTTACAGATGACAATGATGTGCATATATTGAAAATATATTTTTTTAATAAATTTCATTTTTCAGGTCGAACAAAACTGTATAAAGTTGAGAATTGAACGAATTGTTTTTTTAAATTCAATGTTAATTCAAAATTCAAAATTATTTTTTATTTATTTTTCATACTTAACGAATTTATATATATAACTATATAACTTAAAGAATTTTTCTATACATTATTTCAAAGAAAATTATTCGAAAATTTTTAATCCTATTTATAAATCCGATTTATAAAATTATTTTATTTATTGTTCAACATGTTTATTTCATTCCTCTAAAAGTATACCAGACGAGATAGTAAAAATCATCCACATATTACTGTAAAAACCAAAGTATTCAGTCATTCTGACTACAAGTTAACCAAAGCAACATGTGATTCCTGTCACATACTATCGATCACGAAGAAATAAAGTTTCATTCAGTCTTGCGCTTGCGTCCCTTGAATCATTCTTTTCAGAGTCGTTCTCAGATACATTAACGACTTCAGTCAGTGCTATGCACCGCAAGCGTCAGCATGCGATCTACAAGTAATGTCGACGATCTTCCACTGAATGATCGTTATGAAAGCGATATATATTATACATTTCAATTCTGCTATTGGATTTTAAAACCATTAGGCATCCATTATTTCATCTACAGTCAAGCGAACAAATTCGAAAGAATTTTGTCCGTGATCCTAATCCTGATCTGTTGTTTCATAATACAATTTGTCATCGTGCCGTTCGGTTACTATATTCTATTCTACGAGAAGGATATGAATACGAAGATCAAATTTTTAGGACCGTTGACATTTTGTCTAAGTGCACTATTCAAGTATGGTTATCTTGGCATAAAGAGTTCAGAGCTTGGTCGTTGCATAAAACACGTGGAAAAAGATTGGAAGATGTTGCAAAATGAGGATCATCGTATCATCATGTTACGATATGTAATCATGGGCAGAAATCTAATCACATTATGCGCAGCTTTCATGTATACTGGTGGTCTGTTTTATCATACCATTATGCCATTGCTTTCGAAAAGGAAAGTTGAAAATTTTACAATTAGGCCACTTACCTATCCTGGTTATGAGGCATTTTTCAACATTCAAAAGAGTCCCACGTATGAAATCATATATTGTATGCACTGTATTTATGTTATCGTTGTAGGTAACATCACGATGGCCGCGTACAGTTTAACGGCAATCTTCATCACTCATGCCTGTGGACAGATTAAGATACAAACGTTACGATTGGAGAACTTAAAGAACAAGAAGAAAGTGTTAGAAACAGGTATCGAGAGTCATCTGGCGGTTGTTGTCAGGAATCATGTGGAAATTTTAAGGTAAGATGATTAATATCATGATTATAAGTGGATCGTGGTTGTGGATATTCATGTATTTTTGAGAAATTTAAATATATAAAATATACAAAATATTCAAAAAAGTATGAATTAAAGCAGTATATGTTAAAGTAATAAATGTGGAATTGCAGATTTACGAAAAATGTTGAAACAACATTACGTGAATTATTCTTAGTAGAAGTGATAGTGTCAACCTTGTAATGTGTTTGCTTGAATATTACTGCATGGTGGTAAAAATGACAAATTATTCAATGTCGAATAATGAATTGATATTTGAAAAAAAACATGATCATTACGCACAAAAAATAATTACAAAAATCTTTTAGGAATGGGAGACTAGTGATTCGGCTGCAATATTAACATATGTCATTCTCTTATTTTCTTTCACTTTCAACATATTAATATTTTGTTACGTAGGAGAACTTCTTTTTGGACAGGTACTTTTAAAAAATAAATTTCGATTCATTCACAAATCTGTTCATTCGATTTTTTAACATATTTTTTTAACATATCATCATTCATTCGATTTTTTAACATAGAGAGGATTATTTAGTCATTGGTATAATATGGTAACAGGGTAGTGATATTGCAACTGCTTTGTATGAAATAGAATGGTACAACTTACCTGGAAGAAAAGCTCGTGATATTATTTTATTGCTCGTTATATCGAAATATCCGCCTAAACTAACAGCTGGCAAAATATTTATTCTATCGATGAATACTTTTAGCATTGTAAGTGATCCAGAACTAATTTAATTTGTGAATATCTATATTATATGTAAAATCTTGAACGAATAATATCTTTTATTCATAGGTCTTAAAATCATCATTAGTTTATTTGAATATGTTGCGAACGATCACTGAATTGTGATAAACATTCCCAAAATATGTTAAAAACGAAAAATTATATTTTGCTATAATTCAATATTCTGGACTTGATCTGAAAATTGTTAAAACAATTATAATTATTTTAATATTATAAATCTATTAACATAAATACCTATCTTAAGCAGAGTTTAAATATTAGAAGATTAAATAAAGAAATCTCTTAAATATTATTTAAATAAACTTGAATAATTTTTTTTTGTTTCTTTATATTTTATTATGTAAATTAGAAAAAAAATAATCTTGATCTTATATTGCTGCATTAATTTACGCCTTTATTCTAAGTCCATCTTCCCTTCAACGATATAGAACCTGCAAATAAAAAGATGAACACTCATTGGTAATCGAATATTGTCCCTTTACATTAAGCATGCACGTAGTAAAGTTTATACTATACATTCATAGAAACAATGCGCGCTTGCGTTCTGACAATATCATGTTGAAAGTTTCTACATTGTCGACCAGTCGACAGTGAGCACCGGAGCCCTCACTATGCTTGATCGATCTTATAATAACGGTCAGTTAAAAAATATTCATTACGAAAACGACATACATTACACTTTACAAATGTGTCAATGGTTATTGAAACCTATCGGAGTGTGGCCTTTCGTTTATGATCGAACTAGCAGATTTGAACAACTTATTTCCATCGTTCTAATGGCTACGTGCTTTTCCAGTTTGTTATTTATCATCCTACCATCCGGCCATCATATGTTTTTCGTAGAGAAAGATGTGCACATCAAGGTAAAACTGCTCGGTCCAGTTGGATTCTGTTTATCGTCTACAATTAAATATTGCTATCTTGGTGTGAAAGGTGTATTTTTTGAACAATGTATCAAACATGTTGAAAAAGATTGGAAAATGGTACAAGATCCAAGTTATCGAATAATCATGTTAAAATATGCTACTATTAGCAGAAAACTCATAACTATGTGTGCCGTTTTTTTATATACCGGTGGAATGTCATATCATACTATAATGCAATTTTTGTCAAAAGAGAGAGTTAATAATAATTACACGTTTAAACCATTGACTTATCTAGGCTACGATCCATTTTTCGATACGCAATCCAGTCCTACATACGAAATCATATTTTGCATGCATTGTTTCGCCGCCATGATCATGTATAGCGTCACAACGGTTGCATATAGTTTAGCGGCGATTTTTGTCACTCATATCTGTGGGCAAATTCAAATACAAATAGCAAGATTACAAAATTTAGTAGAAAATAAGGACAAAAAGAATGACTGCGATCTTTTTGCTCTTATTGTTCATGATCATGTAGAAATTTTAAGGTAAGAAATATCAAATAAAAGTTGTTCATAAATAAATGTGATAAGAATTTTATATGCTTTATAATATAGAAGGATCATTATAAAAGCCAATACGTGGAAATTTTAGATTTTCGAAAAATGTAGAAGAAGCTTTACGTGAGATATGTTTGACAGAAATTATTGAATCTACAATAATTATGTGTTTGCTTGAATATTATTGCATGACGGTAAGCAATAAATTCAATATATACTTTAGAATTACTTTAGACTATTTAATTGAATGAAAAAATTTAAATGAAAAAAAATATTATTAATTTTTTAGGAATGGCAAAATAGCGATGCAATTGCAATATTGACCTATTTTACTTTGTTGATTTCTTTTACATTTAACATATTTATATTTTGCTATATAGGCGAAATTCTTTCTGAACAGGTAGTTATAAAAGAATTTTGCTTACATATTTTACATACTAAAAAGCATTTTTAATAATTTTTATTAGTGTAGCCAAATTGGTACAATTTCTTATGAAATCAATTGGTACAAATTGCCTGCTAAAAAAGCTCATAACCTTATTCTACTCATTTCCATGTCGCAATATCCCCCAAAACTTACAGCTGGAAAAATAATTGATTTATCTTTCAACACATTTAGCTCTGTAAGTTTTTATTTTTTTTTCAACAATATTAGCATTTTCTGAAGTATAAAACTAAAATTTTACATTTAACAATTTTTAGGTAGTAAAAACATCGGTAATTTATTTGAATTTACTTCGAACAGTTACGGATTAATAACAGGATTAAAATTAATATAAATAATATAAATATAAATAAATTAAATAAATTAATATAAATAATAAAATATATTAATAAAATTATGCTTTTTACTTTTATCATAAAAATATAATATTGTATTATATATTTCAAAAAATATATTTGCAGATATCCTTTTTTAACTAAAATTGATTTTGAATTCTATTTAATTTTTTATTGTAATTTTAATATTTTAGTTTAAATTTGAAACACAATATGCACAATAGTAGTTTTAATATATCAAATTTATTATATACATATAGAAAATTACATGTATATAATAGACATATTTAGATAAACTTATTTACCTATATATTATATTATCTATATTAGATTTATTATTTCGAAATTTATATCGCAAACTTTTATTATTTTTTGTGATATATTTTTCTCATCTTTTATAATAAAACATATGAAATTTATTCATATTAAATTTACTTATTGAAAAGCAACATAATGTAAATGTATAACTTACAATTTTATAAATTACTACTATATTTTTATAACAAGATATTAATTAATTGCATAAAACATATTAAAACAATAACAAAACATTTGAAGAATAACATAATATCAAGTACGTATTTAAATATTTTTAAAAGAAATATTAATAGTATATTACATATAACATAATATAAAATTATTATTATAGAAATATATAGAATAAAAATACTTACAATAAAATATTGTAAAATGAATCCAACTACATGATGAAGTCTTCCTTCATACACAGAATCTCTCCAATGAATGTGAAAACCTGTAAATGATAAAAAAAGATGATATCGATTACATTATTCGCGAAATGCATGCACATTATGAAGTTTATGGTATACGTTCATAAAAACGCAGAAATGCGCTTGCGTTCAATATCAGATAGAAAGTTTCTAGTCTGCCGATCAGTCGACAGTAAGCACTTCAGCTGTCACTATGCATGATCGATCACACGACAATATTAACGGTCAGTTGAAAAATAATCATTACAAAAGTGACATACATTACACATTACAAATGTGTCAATGGTTATTGAAACCGATCGGAGTGTGGCCTCTCATTTACAATCGAACCAGCAAATTCGAGCAACTGATTTCTATCATTTTAATGGGCACGTGTTTCTCTAGTCTGTTATTCATCATCTTACCATCCGGTCATCATATCCTTTTCGTAGAAAAAAATTTGCACATGAAAGTGAAAGCATTCGGCCCAGCTGGATTTTGTTTATCATCCACAATTAAATATTGCTACCTTGGCCTAAAAGGATCCTCGTTTGAGAGATGCATCGAACATATGAGAAAGGACTGGATGATGGTGCAAGATCCAAATCATCGAACGATCATGTTAAAATATGTAACGATTAGCAGGAAACTTATCACCATGTGCGCCGTCTTTTTATATACAGGAGGAATGTCATATCATACGATAATGCAATTTTTGTCGAAAGGAAGGAATAAGGACAATCATACGATCAGACCATTACCTTACATCGGCTACGACCCATTTTTTGATACACAGTCTAGCCCTACATACGAAATTGTGTATTGTATACATTGTTTCACAGCGATGATCATGTATAGTGTTTCAACAGTTGCATACAGTTTAGCAACAATCTTTGTTACGCATATATGTGGACAGATTCAGATACAAATAGCAAGATTACAAGATTTGGTCGAGAACAAAGAGAAGAGGAAATACGAAGATTGTGATCCTTTTGCTCTTATTGTGCACGATCATGTGGAAGTATTAAGGTAAGAAATATTATTAACGTGAATATACGTACATGATAAAAATCCTTAAAAATTAAAACGAGAAGGAACTTTAAAAAAGTAAATATGTGAAAATTATAGATTTTCGAACAATATAGAAGAAGCTTTACGAGAGATATGTTTTACAGAAATTATAGAGTGTACGATAGATATGTGTATGCTTGAATATTATTGCATAATGGTAAGCAATAAAATTAAATTACATATAAGTTAAAGACTGATTATAAATCTATTATTTTAGGAATGGTCAGCAGGCGATACGATTACGCTTTTAACTTTTTTTACTTTATTGACCTCTTTCACATTTAATATATTTATATTCTGCTATATAGGTGAAATTCTGACCGAGCAGGTAATTATAAGAATTTTATTTATTTTAATATTTTTTATTCTATTAAGCAAAGTCAATAATCGTTATTAGTGTAGTCAAATTGGTACAGTTTCCTATGAAATCGATTGGTATAAATTATCACCTAAGGAAGCTTATAGTCTTATTTTACTGATCTCCGTATCACAGCATCCACCAAAATTAACAGCAGGAAAAATAATCGAATTATCTTTGAACACATTTAGTACTGTAAGTTTCAATTCTTCAAACATTTTTAGAAATAAGCAATAAAATATTATGGAATTGTTTTTAGGTAGCAAAAACATCGATAGTTTATTTGAATTTGCTTCGAACGGTTACAAACTGGTAATAAAACTTATAGTTTTTAGTTTTTACTATTATCATCGTAAAAACATTATTTTACTATTAAAAAAATATTTTTACAGATATTCTTTTTTAAGTAAAATTGGAGCTGAATTTGAACTCTTCTCTTTAATTTATTCCGACATTCAAAATTTATTTTTGAAATGATTAAAAATAGCTTATATTGATATAAGCTGTTTATTACAAATATGCATTTTAAAACTCATTTGTTATTTAAATACTTATATTGCACTATTATTTTATAATAGTTTCGTCTTGTTTTCATTAATAATTAGACATATGAACAATTATTTACACAAAACTTACTAAAAAGTAGCTCAGTATAATATATTTTTTTATTACAAAATACTAATTATTTGCACAATATATAAATGACAATTAAAATAAATTTAAAGAGTAGCACAATATCAAGTATATATTATTAATTATTTTCTAAAAACAATTATTACTTTATTTAAATATTTTTTAAACATAAATCCGATGGAATAGTTTCGATCTTTCTTACACATAACACAATCTCATCAATGAACATGGAACTTATAAATGATAAAAAAAAACGACGATGGTTATTGATAGATGCCATCCTATATTATTCGTGAAACGTATGCACGCGAAAGTTCATGGTATACATTCATAAAAACGCAGAAACGTGCGCTTGCGTTCTGACAATATCGCGGAGAAAGTTTTTAACTTGCCGATCAGTCGGCAGTGAACACTTCAGTTGTCACTATGCATGATCGATTACACCACAATATTGAAAGTCAGCTGAAAAATAGTTATTATAAGAGCGATATACATTACACATTACAAATGTGTCAATGGTTATTGAAACCAATCGGAGTGTGGCCTCTCATTTGCAATCAAACTAACAAATTCGAACAATTCGTTTCGATCATTTTAATGATTATGTGCTTCTCCAGTCTATTATTTATCATCTTACCATCTGGTCATCATTATTTCTTTATAGAGAAAAATTTGAATATGAAAGTGAAAGCTCTTGGACCAGTTAGTTTCTGTGTATCATCCACAATTAAATATTGCTATCTTGTCTTAAAAAGATCCTCATTTGAAAAATGTATTGAACATATGAAAAGAGATTGGATGATAGTACAGGATCCAAATCATCGAATAATTATGTTAAAATATGCGACGATTAGTAGAAGACTTATTACCATATGCGCCGTTTTTTTATATTCAGGAGGAATGTCGTATCACACTATAATACAATTTTTATCGAAGAGAAAGAATAATGATAATCACACGATCAGACCATTACCTTATATTGGCTACGATCCATTTTTCGATACACAATCTAGCCCTACGTACGAAATTGTGTTTTGTATACATTGCTTCACAGCGATGATGATGTACAGTATTTCAACGGTTGCATACAGTTTGGCAGCAATCTTTGTTACACATATTTGTGGACAGATTCAAATACAAATAGCAAGATTGCAAGATTTAGTTGAGAATAAGGAGAGGAAGAAATATGAGAGTTGTGATCCTTTTGCTCTTATCGTGCGCGATCATGTGGAAATTTTAAGGTAAGGATCAAATATGTTATTTTGAATAAACGAATGCGATAATATTTAAAATTAGAATGTGTAAAAATTATAGATTTTCGAACAATATAGAAGAAGCTTTAAGAGAGATATGTTTTACGGAAATCATAGAGTGCACGTTAAATATGTGTATGCTCGAATACTATTGTTTAATTGTAAGTAATTAAATGAAGTTATATTAAAATTAAAAAAGTCTGAATATAAAAATGTTATTTACTCTATCTTTTAGGAATGGTCAGCAGGCGATACAATTACGCTTTTAACTTTTTTTACTTTATTGACCTCTTTCACATTTAATATATTTATATTCTGCTATATAGGTGAAATTCTGACCGAGCAGGTAATTATAAGAATTTTATTTATTTTAATATTTTCTATTTTATTAAGCAAAGTCAATCGTTATTAGTGTAGTCAAATTGGTACAGTTTCCTATGAAATTGATTGGTATAAATTATCACCCAAGGAAGCTTACAATCTTATTTTATTAATCTCCATATCGCAATATCCACCAAAATTAACAGCAGGAAAAATAATCGAATTGTCTTTGAATACATTTAGCTCTGTAAGTTTTGATTTTTCAAATATTTTTAAAAACATTTTTAAATCGAAATTTTATACTGAATCGTTTTTAGGTAGCAAAAACATCAGTAGTTTATTTGAATTTGCTTCGAACAGTTACAAACTGGTAATGAAATTTATTTTTTATTTATAATTATTATAATTATTATCAGGATTATATCATTATATTTTTATATTTTATTTTCACAGATATTTTTTACCAAGAATCAACTCCTAGGTATTTGTATTAATTAAATAATAAAATATATGATTTAAATTCCAGTTTTAGATGTTAGAAAAACACTGAATATATAATTTCTAAATATTTCTCTTAAGAGTTGAAATTAAATTTTTAATATTTTCTTTTCATTTCATTATTATTTCGAAAAATTAATCTATTTTTTTATGAGACAAGAAAATATGCAAGCATAGAAATTAATTATATATCACAAATTTTTATAGCATTAAAAAATATTTTTGAACCGCATAAAAATAAATATTTCATAATATATTAAATCTACACACACATTTTAAATATTTTTTTATCACAAATTAATATATCGCACATCATTTCAAATCACTTATATATAATATTAGTTTTCAATCTATTCTTTTCACCATTTTCGAACATGAAATTTTATAGAACGAACTGATAGCCTCCACTATAATTACAGTTCTATTTACTTCTTTTAATAAGTATCGATCGATTTACAATTGTAGTAAGAGAAGCACGCACGCGATATTACGAGCGCAAACTCAACAGCAACTGTCACCAGACTATTACAAACAGTCGCTTTCCTACTGTCTAGCAAGATGCACTTCTCTGTTCGAAATTTAATCAATAAACCGCAAAATCCTAATTACGAGAAAGATATAGTTTATGTGACGAAACATAACAAATGGGTTCTCACTTCTATTGGCATTTGGCCAACAGTACTAAAGAACATCGGTAAAATTTTACCGAAAATTGTGATTGGAATTAATAATTTATTGTGTTTTTTCACTCTGATCCAAAGTACGTTACACGTCATATTGGAGCAAAAGGATACATTACTAAGACTGAAGCTTTTTGGTTTAATTTTTTTCTCTTTCATGTCATTGATGAAATATTGGGCTCTAACGATACGTAAATCGGAAATCGAATACTGCATCGAACAGGTGCAATTAGATTGGAAACAAGTTAATTAAAACATATTTTTATTAAAGATTTTGATTTCATGTGTATTTAAATATATCGATACACGGATAGTAAATAAAATTAAACTTCATCCACGATTAATTAACATATAAATATCTATATTTCTATTAAAATCGTGTTTTATATATATATATACAAACATTATTTTTTTATATCATAATATATTTTATATATGTATATCTATTATATTCTTAAATTTCATGAAATATATGTTTTACATATATTTTTATATGTTCCGTGTATACGCGTATTTTAATACAATACGTTTACTATTATAATATTTTTTATATTTATTAGAATTATACTTTTTTTTAATAAAATCTACCATTTAGCAGGTAAAGATGGAAAATGATCGCGAACTTATGTTAAAATACGGAATAATCGGTCGAAATTTGACTATCTATAGTATTTTATTCATGTACATCAGTGGTATTATGTACGTTTCTATTATGCAGTATGCGATGAAATTGCAGATTAATGATAATAATCAAACGAGTAAAGTGTTGATTTATCCTGCATATAGTAACAGTATTCAAAAAAGTCCTATTTATGAAATAATATATGGTATTCAATGTATTTGTGCATACGTCCTCGATAGTGTAACGTGTGGTGCTTGCGGCTTGACCGCACTTTTCGTAACCCATGCCTGTGGACAAATCGACGTTATTATATCTCGATTGGATGACATAGTTGCTGGACAATTTCACAAGAAAAAATCAAACTCAAACATACGAGTGATAGAAATTATTAAACATCACATAAAAATTTTAAAGTAAAAATATAAAGGTGATGTAAGTCATTATTTATCGTTTATGAAAACTTATCATGTGTTATTGTAGATTTTCAGCTATGGTTGAAAAAGTACTGCAAGAAGTATTCTTTTTAGAATTTATTAGTTCCACTTTTGTAATATGTTTGCTTGAATATTATTGTATTACGGTACGTTTTTATTTCTTTCCATTTTGGTTTTTATGAGTTTATTATATTTTTACATTTACACAGGATTGGGAACAAAATAATATGATTGGTCTCACATCGTATGCATTACTATTAATATCATTGACATTTAATATGTTCTTGTTATGCTATATTGGTGATCTTCTAATACAAAAGGTACTTTTGTATAGATTAACTTATATTTTTATATTCTTATAATTGTAAGAATGTTCACTGAACCATCTTTGGTAAGAAAATATTTCAACAATCATATTTCTTTTTTCTTTAGAATACAACATTTTTCTCTGCACAATTTAGACAAGTTATGCAAAAATTGTTAAAGCACATTCGATTCACTTGTAGAAACAATTTTAAATTATCATTTATTCCTTTTTTTACTGGCTTCAAATATTCGATTCACTCATATATTTTAAAAATTAAAATTTAATCACTTGCAAAAAATATTCACGTTTTTTTTCTTTAATAAAAAATTTTCTATATCAATGTATATGAAAACATATTGATAAATTTGTTACTTGCATCACAGAGTGGTAACGTCGGAGTAGCCGTGTTCATGATTGACTGGTACCATTTACCAACGAAAACGATTCAAAATCTTATCTTGATCATGGCCATGTCGAATAGTCCGGCGAAACTTAGTGTCGGTAGGATAGTTGATTTATCTTTGTCTACTTTTGGAAATGTACGTTTATATTGATATATTAATTACAAGAATGTGGTGGTGATATAAATGAAAATTATTAGAACTTTATTTGTCAGCAATTACATTTCGCAGGTTTTAAAGACGACATTCGTATATTTAAACTTTCTTCAAACTGCTGTTATGCAATAATCTTAAAAATGTTTTTATAATTGTTTTAAATTATAAAATATTAAATAATAAATAAAAAATATGTTGTAAAGATATTTACTATGTAATTGTCTAAATTTTTGTGAAAAATAATTATATATACATGAAATTATTAAAGTAGATAATAAAATATTTGTCTATTTATAACAATAAAATCAAGCTATGTGTGAATCTTAACCAATAATAGATTCCAAAGTGATTGATTACATCCGTATGAAATAATTAGATATAGTTTTCTATAAAAATTGATTGATATAAATTATCATCACAAAGAAGTTTACGACTTTATTAATATCCATATCACAATATTTATCAAAATTAATGACGAGAAAAATAATCGAATTATTTTTTAATGCATTTAACTCTGTTATGATTTTTCAAACATTTTTAAAAATATATTTAAATCAAATTTTTATATTTTTAAATAGCAAAATTATTAATATATTTAAATTTACTTCGAATAATTACAAGTAATGAAATTTATTTCTTTTTATTTTTTTGTTTTTAATTATTATCAAAGAATTATATCATTATATTTTTATATTTTATTTTCACAAATATTCTTTATTAAATATCAATTATATTAAATATTTGTATTAATTATAACATGTATGATTTAAATTCTAATTTATTAGATTTTAGAAAAATAGTGAATATATAATTTCTAAATATTTTTATTAAAAGTTGAAATTAAATTTTTAAAATTTTCTTTTCATTAATTAATATTTCGTAGTAAGTAAGTAATCTATCTCTTTATGAGATAGATCAAGAAAATATGCAAGCATAAAAATTAATTATTTCACAAATTTTCACAGCACTTTTGAAAAATATAAAAGATATAAATATTTCATAATAGAAACTCATTTTACAAACATGTACTTTCTTATGAATGCATCACACATTATTTCAGAATTTAATCGATCACTTATACATAACATCGGTTTTCAATCCAATCTTTTCACCATCTTCGAACGTAAAATTTTATAGAACTGATAGCCTCTACTATAATTACAGTCTTTTACTTCTATTTACTTCTTTTAATAAGTATCGATCGATTTACAATTGTAGTAACAGAAGTACGCACGCGATATTACGAGCGCAAGCTCAACAGCGACTGTCACCAAACTACTACAAACAGTCGCTTTTCTACTATCCAGCAACATGCACTTCTCCATTCGAAATCCGATCAATGAACCGCGAAATCCTAATTACGAAAAAGATATAGCTTACGTGACGAAATATAACAAATGGGTTCTTAGTTGCATTGGCATTTGGCCGATAGTACTAAAAAATACGAATAAAATTTTACCGAAAATAGTGATTGGGATTAATAATTTATTGTGTTCTTTTATCCTAATCCAAAGTGCATTGCATATCATATATGAAGAGAAAGATGTATTGTTAAGATTGAAGATTCTCGGTTTAATTTTTTTCTCTTTAATATCATTGATGAAATATTGGGCTCTAACGATACACAAACCGGAAATCAAATATTGCATCGAACAGGTGCAATTAGATTGGAAACAGGTTAATTAAAATATATATATTTATTAAAAGTTCCTACTTCATGTGTATTTAAATACATCTGTACACATGTAGTAAATGAAATTGAATTTCAATTCATGTATTTTGTAATATTGCTATTTCAAGCGTGTTACATATATACAAATATTATTTTTATATTTCATAATATATTTTATGTATATATAAACATATTTTTATATATTGTATATATGATTTCTATATATTTTCATATTTTTACTTATCATATATGTATTTTTTATTTTTATATTTTTTATTTTCTTTTTTCATTTCAAGAAATTCTTTTTTTCCTAGCTTTCTTAATATTCTTGCGAGTTTCTTCCAACAGACTATACTTTGTCCAAAAATTAAAGAAAGAAAACAAATCGAAAAATTTATATCCATTACATCATCTTACGAATGAAGAAAGACTGGAAGCTTGGATTTATTAGGAACATAAAGTGTGCATGGAAATATTCATGATGTCACAGACAGAAGAGCAACATTGCGTGAGAACAAAAAAGATGCTATTAATTTAGTTATGCAGCTTCTGATATTTTCTATATCAAATACTCGCATAATTCATATATTTCTATTTTGTTTTATATTTTATTGTATACCAACACATATTATATTTTATATTTTTAAATTTTTATATATCACTTTATATCTATATATTTATATATAGATATCATAATTTTATATCTATATATTTTTATATTCTTAAATTTCAAATGCATATTTTATATATACTTTTATATTTCTTATGTACATGTGTATTTTATTACACGTTTAGAATCATGATTTTTAACGTTCATATAAGAGTTATTTACAAATGAAAAATCTTTTTTTAATAAATTTTTTAATAAATTTCACAGGTAGAGATGGAAAATGATCGCGAACTTATGTTAAAATACGGGATGCTCGGCCGAAATTTAACCATCTATAGTATTTTGTTCATGTACATCGGTAGTATTACTTATATGTCTATTACGCAATATGCAATGGGATTACAGATTAATGAACATCAATCTAATCAAACGATTAGAGTGTTGATTTATCCTACATATGGTTACAATATTCAAAAAAGTCCTATTTATGAAATAATATACGGTATTCAATTTATGTGCGGATATGTCGTCGACACTATAACATCTGGTGCTTGCGGTTTGGCCGCACTTTTTGTAACCCATGCCTGTGGACAAATCGATATCATTACGTCTCGATTGGATGACATAGTTGCTGGACAATTCTACAACAAAAATTTAAGTCCGAATATACGACTGATGGCAATCATTAAACATCATATAAGAATTTTAAAGTAAAAATATAAAGATGATATGAATCATTACTTGTTATTTATGAAAACTTATCATGTATTATTATAGATTTTCAGCGGTAGTTGAAACAGTTTTGCAAGAAGTATTCTTTTTGGAATTCGCTGGTTCTACTTTTGTAATATGTTTACTTGAATATTATTGCATTGCGGTACGTTTTTGTTTCTTTCCATTTTAGTTTCTATCAGTACATCATATTTTTACGTTTACACCAGGATTGGGAACAAAAAAATATAATTAGTCTGACATCATATATATTACTATTAATATCATTGACGTTTAATATGTTCTTATTATGCTATATTGGTGATCTTCTAATACAAAAGGTATTATGTGCTATATTTTTATATTCCTATATATATGTAATATTTAATATATATATATTGTAAGAATGATCATTGAGCCATCTACAAAAAAGTATGTCTCAACAATCAAAAATACCTTTTTTTCTTTACATTACAACTTTTTCACATAATCTAAACAAATTATCAAAGCACATTCAATTACTTCTAGACACAATGTTAAATTTATTATTTTGATTGTTTTCATTGTTATTTATTTATCTTCACTTAGTCTTTCTTTAAACACTCAGTTCACTCACGTATTTCAAAAATTTGAAATTTGAAATTAATTGCAAGAAATATTCACGTTTTTCTTCTTTTATAAAAATTGTGTGTATTAATGTATATAAAAATTCATTAATAAATTTATTATTTGCATCACAGAGTGGTAACATCGGAGTAGTCGTGTTTATGATTGACTGGTTTCACTTACCAACGAAAACGATTCAAAATCTTATTTTGATCATGGCTATGTCAAATAATCCGGCAAAACTTACTGTTGGTAGGATAGTTGATTTATCTTTGTCTACTTTTGGAAATGTACGTTTATACTAATACATAAATTACAAGAATATGGTGGTGACATAAATGAAAATTATACAATTGGAACTCTACTTGTCAGCAATTACGTTTCGCAGGTTTTAAAGACGACATTCGTGTATTTAAACTTCCTTCAGACTGCTGTTATGCAATAATTCTTACAAGTGTTTTTATAATTGTCTTCAATCATAAAATATTAAATAGTAAATAAAGAAATATGTTGTAAAAATATTTACTGTTATGTAATTGCTTGAATTTTTGTGAAATATAATTATATATTATATATACACGAAAATATTGAAATAGATATAATAGACATTTGTCTATTTATAACAAATAATAATGTCAAGCTTATATTTTATCTTAACCAATAGATTCTAAAAATTATTTCAAAGGAATTGCCTATGTGAAATAACCAGTTGAAAAATAAAATAAGACAAGCTTTCACACATTTTTTAAATTTAAGTAACAATAAGAAAATATCTACAACTTATTTTATTAATGATTACTTATTCTTGCATTTATGTAAATATTAATATTATTTTATAGGATATCCACATAAAAATACAAACGAGTTTATTATTATTCTTATAATATTCTTATAATTTCTTAATCATTAATTTTCACTTTTCACTTACATATAAATATAAAGAAAAACATTGCTTATATAATCAAACACAAAATGGGTTATGAAATTTATCAGCATTTGGCTTTTTAAAGGATATCGCAAAATTTTTATTGAAAATTGTAATTGAAATTTATTCTATTTCTTGCTATTATATTATGCATCCTGAAAATTATTATATATATCATATTTTAAAAAAAAATAATGTGATAAAATTAAAATTATGCAGGTTACTGACTACTTTCTATTCGATTGTATTGATGAAATATTGGAGTGATAAAATTAGAACGTGAAAAAGGAAGATATTCTTTCATAGAAATCATAGATATTCTATCATAGATATTCTTTATCAACTTTTTCAACTTCATATTTGTATTAATTATAACATGTATGATTTAAATTCCAATAATTTATTAGGTTTTTAAAAAATAATAAATATAAAATTTCTAAATATTTTTATTAAAACTTGAAATTAAATTTTTAAAATTTTCTTTTCGTTAATTATTATTTCGTGAGTAATCTATCTCTTTATGAGATAATTAAGAAAATATGCAAGCATAAGGATTAATTATTTTTAGAGATTTTTTAAAAGACACTTTTGAATCACAAAAAAAAAATATAAATAATTTTATATTAAATCTACACACATTTTACAAACATTTTTTTACCACAAATGAGTATATCACACATTATTTCAGAATTCAATCGATCACTTATACATAACATCAGTTTTCAACCCATTCTTTTCATCATCTTCGAATACAAAATTTTAGAATGAACTGATAACCTCTACTATAATTACAATACAAACTATTTACTTCTTTTAATAAGTATCGATCGATTTACAATTGTAGTAACACAGTAAGTAGTTGTAGTAAGCACGCATGCGATATTATGAGCGCAAGCTCAACAACAACCATCACCAGACTATTACAAACAGTCGCTTTCCAACTGTCCACAAACATGCACGTCTCTCTTCGAGATCCGATCAACGAACCGCGAAATCCTAATTACGAGAAAGATATAGCTTATGTGACGAAACATAACAAATGGGTTCTCGCTTCTATTGGCATTTGGCCAACAGTGCTAAAAAGTATCGGTAAAATTTTACCGAAAATCGTGATTGGATTCAATAATTTATTGTGTTTTTTCACCCTGATCCAAAGTGCATTACATATTATATTGGAGCAAAAGGATACATTACTAAGATTGAAATTTCTTGGTTTAATTTTCTTCTCTTTCATGTCATTGATGAAATACTGGGCTCTAACGATACGCAAACCAGAAATCGAACACTGCATCGAACAAGTACAATCAGATTGGAAACAGGTTAATTAATGCATGTATTTATTAAAGATTTCTACTTCATATTGTCTAAATACTGTACACGTGTACTAAATGAAATTGAAATTGAACCATATAATTTTTACACGGATATCTATATTTCTATTACAAAATAATATTTATGTACAAGCATCATTTTTATATGTCATAATATATTTTATGTGTATATATTTATATTTTTATATCATGATATATCGTATATATGATTCATATATATATTTTCGTGTCTTAACATGACATGTATATACATATATTTTTTTTCCTTTTAAGATGTTCTTTTTAATTTTCTCTAGCTTTCTCAATATTTTTGTTCATAAGTTAGACGAAAAATGCAAAAATCGAAAATTTTAAGTATCCATTGCGCCATGAATGCTTCGACTTGTTAATGTAAAAACACAGAATATATATTAATGACATTATTGACAACAATGACTAATGACAAGACGAGCATTATTGCGCGATGTCAGAAAAAACATGCTATTATTATTTTGGCAGTTTTTGATATTTTTTGCGTATATCAAATATACGCATATTTCTTTATATATATACAAACGCGTATCTTATATTTTATTGTATATTGTATGTATTTTATATTTTTAAATTTTTATATGCATATACTTTATTTATACATAATATTATATTTTTATTTTTAAATTTCAGATGGATATTTTATATATATTTTATATTTTATTATATATATATATATATCTTAATATTACAACAATATCTCGAAAACTTTGTTTAAATAAAATCTACTCTTTGACAGGTAGAGATAGAAAATGATCGCGAATTAATGTTAAAATACGGGATAATCGGCCGAAATTTGACCATCTATAGTATTTTGTTCATGTACCTTAGTGGTATTATATATATTTCTATTATGCAATATGCGATGGGATCGCAGATTAATGAATATAATCAAACGATTAAAATGTTGATTTATCCTGCATATGGCGGTTACAATATTCAAAAAAGTCCTACTTATGAAATTATATATGGTGTTCAATGTATATGCGAATATGTCTTCGATACTATAGCATCTGGTGCTTGCGGTTTGGCCGCACTTTTCGTAACCCATGCATGTGGACAAATTGATGTCATTATGTCTCGATTGGATGATATAGTTGCTGGACAATACAAAAAAAATTCAAATGCGAATATACGACTGATGGAAATTATTAAACATCATACAAGAATTTTAAAGTAAAAATATGAAGGAGACGTAAGTCGTTATTTATTGCTTATGAAAACTTATTATATATTATTGTAGATTTTCAGCTGTGGTTGAAACAGTTTTGCAAGAGGTGTTCTTTTTGGAATTTGTTAGTTCCACTTTTGTAATATGCTTACTTGAATATTATTGCATTACGGTACGTTTCTTTTTTATGAGTCTTCATATTTTTTACATGATATTTTTACGTTTACACCAGGATTGGGAGCAAAAAAATATAATTAGTCTGACATCGTATATATTATTATTAATATCAATGACATTTAATATGTTTTTATTATGCTACATTGGTGATCTTCTAATAGAAAAGGTATTATATGCTGTATTTTTATATTTCTATAATTGTAAGAATGTTCACTGAATCACCTTTGGTAAGAAAGTACTTCAACAACTATATTTCTTTTTTCTTTATAATATAATTCTTTTCTCTACACAGTATAGACAAATTAAATTGTCAAAGCACATTTGATCACCTCTTAGACATAATCTTAAATTATCATTTACTTCTCTTTCACTTTGAAACACTCGGTTCATTCACGTGTTTCAAAATTTTGAGATTTAACCACTTGCAAAAAATATTTACATTTTTTTCTTCTATAATAAAAAATTGTGTATATCAAAATATTTGAAAACTTATTATTAAATTTGTTAATTTGCATCACAGAGTGGTAACGTCGGAGTGGCCGTGTTCATGATTGACTGGTATCACTTGCCAACGAAAACGATTCAAAATCTTATCTTGATCATGGCCATGTCGAATACTCCGGCGAAACTTAGTGTCGGTAGGATACTTGATTTATCCTTATCTACTTTTGGAAATGTACGTTTATACTGTTATATCAATTATATTTCAAGAATATGATGGTGACATGAATGAAAAGTTTATAATTAGAACTTTATCTATCGGTAATTAAATTTCACAGGTTTTAAAAACGACATTCGTATATTTAAACTTTCTTCAGACTGCTGTTATGTGATAATTATAAATGTTTTATTATTTTCGATCATAAAATATTGAATAGTAAATAAAGAAATATGCTACAATGATATTTAATTGCTTAAATTTTTGTAAAGTATAATTACATACGAGATATTTTAAGTCAGATAGCACAAGTAAACATGAGTGAATTCTTTATGAAAAAATAAATCGAAAATAAAATATGGAATAATGATTTTTTATTTGAGATTTCATTTTCAAGAAAATGAATTTCGAAAATTCTTTGAATGTTTAAAAAACGTGTGAATGCCGAAGATCATAGCAATTAAGAACAACTGAAAGAAAAAATCATACATTCATTTGATTAAATACAAACAAAAAATTTATTTAGTATTTATTATGGTCCATGCTTTCGTGATTCGAGAAGTAATAATGTTTAGAACAAACTAAACATTATTTTCAATAATTTCTTTAGTAATATAAATTTTTTTAATAATATAAGTTTATAATATTTTCAAAATACTAACGCATAATGCAATCGATTATACCAAAAGTATATAAAAATGCATACTTATAGAATTTTCAAAATTTAATTTTTCAAAAACGAAGCCTCAAATAAAAAATTATTATTTTATATTTTCGATTTATTTTTCGTAAAGAATCCGTCCTATTATATTAATCGATTCGAAAGATGAAATATATATCTACATGAAAATATTTTTGTTTACTTACAATAATAAAATCGAGCTGCATCATGTATTTTGTCTTAACCAATAGATTCTAAAAGCCAACACCAATTGGGTTGTACGATGCCTAGGTGTAACCTATCGAGAAATAAATTAAAACATAAATTAAAACTCTTATAAATATTTTTTACGTTTGAGAAACAATAATAAATTTAAATAAATAAATTATAAAAAATTATTCTTTCAAACAATTTTTTTGTTCGAAAATATATATTACATTAAAAAAAGAAATTGCAATATAACCTAATGAATTATTAATTATTAATTATTAATTACCCATATATACATTCGCATTATATAATTTAAAAAATCATTCATATTATTGGAGCAATATGTATATTGAAGAACTTTCTAATCGTCACATACTTACACCTCCTTTCCACTTATGGCTAGAACACAAAGTTAGACTCTATAGCAACTCTTCAGTTAGCTCTCGCTATAATTTTAAACGTTCGGTTCTCTGATACGTTAATAATCGATTTCGAAGTACTGGAAAAGATGCACGCACACACGAGCGCAAACTCGGCTACCTTGCAATCAATGCCATCAAACTGTTGTAAACAGTCGTTTTCGAACTATCTACGAACATGCATCTCTTCGTTCGAGATCAAACCGATCAACCGCGAAATCTGAATTACGAGAAAGACATCGTTTACGTGACCAAGCATAATAAATGGATTTTGAATTCCATCGGTATTTGGCCAACTGTATTAAAAGGCATCGATGAATATTTACCAAAAATTGCAATTGGACTCAATAATTTAGTGTTATCCTTCACCGTGATCCAATGTGTTCTACACATATTATTGGAGCAAAAGGATCCGATACTAAGACTGAAAATCCTCGGTTTAACTTGCTTCTCTTTCATCTCATTGATGAAGTATTGGGTTTTAACGATGCGCAAACCGAAAATCAAACATTGTATAGAAGAGATACAACACGATTGGAAACAGGTTAGTTGCAATGAATATTTTTTTTTATCTTTCTTTCTTTCATTACAAATATTATTGCTGTTTATGTGAAAGAGTTTTTTTTTTTAACAAAAAATTGAAATCGCAGGTAGAATTCGAAAGAGATCGAAAATTGATGTTAAAATACGGTATGATAGGCCGAAATTTGAGCATGTACAGTATTGTTTTTATGTACAGCGGTGGCATAATTTATCATACGGTTATGCATTACAAAGTCGGATCATACGTCGATGAATATAATCGTACGATTAAACTGCTGATATATCCTACATACAGTCGTTTTTACGACGTTCAAAAAAGTCCAATTTATGAATTAGTTTACATTCTCCAATGCATCTGTGGATACATGTTCGATACTGTAACAGTTGGTGCGTGTGGCTTGGCTGCGCTTTTTGCAACGCATATTTGTGGACAGATTGATATAGTTATGGCCAAATTAGAGGATTTGGTTGATGGAAAATTTTCGAAAGAGAATTCAAATCCGAACATACGACTGATAGAAATTATCGAACATCACATAAAAATTTTAAGGTATAAAATAGAAAAGTGATGGAAATCTGTTGCATATCGCTTATGAAAACGTATCGTGTGCTATTGTAGATTTTCAACAATGGTTGAGACAGTACTGCAAGAAGTGTGCTTTTTAGAATTCGTTGGTTCCACTTTTGTAATATGCTTGCTTGAATATTATTGCATTACGGTACGTTTTTATTGCTTCCCATTTTGGTTTCTACGAATTTATGGTATTTTTTATATTTTCAATAGGATTGGCAACAAAATAATACAATTGGTCTAACAACATATTCGTTATTATTGATATCTTTGACGTTTAATATGTTTTTATTATGTTACATTGGTAATCTTCTGATAGAAAAGGTACTTTTTGTTACATTTTTCTTATGAGTTTCGTAATGTAAATATCGTTCAATATGTCAAAAAATTCATTAAAAAATATTTTTCTCTTATTTATTATTTCGATCATAGAGTACTAATATTGGAATAGTATGTTGCATGATCGATTGGTATCAATTACCAATCAAGACAATTCAAGGCCTCATCTTAATGATCGCCATGTCGAATAGTCCGGCGAAAATTAACGCTGGTGGAATAGTTGATTTATCTTTATCCACTTTTGGAAGTGTGAGTTTTTAAACGAAATTTATAATTAATTCGAGTTTCGTTCCTTTATTAATTAATCTTACGATTACAGGTTTTAAAAACATCATTTGCATATTTAAATTTCATCCGAACTACCATCGTTTAACAATTATTTCATTGTTTTTAATAATTAGAATAGTAAATAATAGTAGTTGTAGAATAATAAATAAAAAAATAATAAATATAAAAATATTCTTTATCTTTAAAATGTTTTGCATTAGAAAATCAACCAAATTCAGAAACATTCATATCTTAAACAATAATTATGATTTAAATTTTTTTAGAAAAAAATGATTACAAATTATCGTCGTTTAGAAAATAATCATTTTTTTACTAAAAAGAAAATAATTACAACTTTTTTTATTAATAGTATTTGATTATAAATTATGATTACTTATTTTTACATTTATAGAAATATTAATTATTTTATACGAAATTTTACATTTATTATAATACAAATTTAACTACTTCCTTTCAGCAATTTTCATATAAGTTCTTAATCGGTGTGCAGTTATCACTTCAATCCGTTTCACTTACGTTTAAACATAAAGACTCTATAGCATCAGTTAGTTACCCTACAATTTCAGACGTTCTCTCTTAATAATCGATTATCGAAGTACTGAAAAAGATGCATACACGCAACTTGAGCTTGCGCTCAACGACCTTGCGCTCAATCTTACTGAGCTATTGGAAACAGTTGTATTCAAACTATCAACGAACATGCATCTCATGCCAAATGAAAGTGATTGTAGAGCGCGAAATCTAAAATGCAAAGAAGACATCGCTTATGTAACCAAACATAGTAAATGGATTTTGAAATCCATCGGCATTTGGCCATCGGTTGTTAAAGACGTCTCAAGATTTCTACCAAAAATCGTGTTTGGATTATGTAACTTTGTTCTATTTTTCGCTATTATACCATGCATCTTGTACATCGTAATCGAAGAAAATGATACCATGATAAGATTTAAATTATTCGGTTTACTGAGTTTCTCTTTAGTTGCGTTGATAAAATACTGGACACTTTTGTACCGCAAATCAAGAATCAAGAACTGCGTCGAACAAATATGGATTGATTGGGAACAGGTCAGTAAATTAATTCGAAAAATTAAACAAGAAAAGATAAAAATAAAAATTAGAAATCGCTCAATAATTAATAGTCGTGTAATTTTTAAATTAGTCAATATATATACTTTCTTAAAGTAAAAAACGTTTAGTGTTTCGTTAAGGGCACATCTCTACTGGATGTGACAGGTAGAATTATATGAGGATCGCGAAATGATGCTCAAATATGGACAAATGGGTAGAAATTTAATAATAATTTGTGCTATGTTCACATACACGGGTGGCACTATCTTTCATACGATCTTACAATATAAGATCGGTACGTTTATCGATGAATATAATCGCACGATCAAACCAGTGATCTATCCCACGTACAACGGTCTATTTAATGTACAAAGAAGCCCCATTTATGAATTTGTGTACATTCTTCATTGCATGTGTGGATACGTTATGCATTCTGTAACTGCTGGTGTTTGTGGATTAATTGCACTTTTCGTAACACATGCTTGTGGACAAATTGATATCGTTATAGCTCGATTAAATGATCTTATACATGACAAATGTACGAAAGAAAAAATTAATTTGAACACACGATTTATAAATATTATTGAACATCATTTGCGAATATTAAGGTACAATAATTAATTTATTGAAAATATTTTTATCAATCATTAAAAATAAATATATATATATATATACATACCTAATGATATATGGCCGATTATAGATTTTCAGCAACAATACAGATGATTTTGCAAGAATTATGCTTTCTAGAATGTATTGGATCCACCTTTTTGATATGTCTGCTCGAATATTATTGTATAACGGTGCGTTTCTTTTCGCTTTTCGTATGAGTTTCTACAAATTCAAGATTTATTTTTTATAACAGGATTGGGAATTAAATAATACCATCAGTCTTACAACATATATAATATTATTAATATCTCTAATATTTAATATATTTATATTATGCTATATTGGTGAACTTCTAATGGAAAAGGTATATTTTTACGACGTTTATTAAATATATTTAGAAAGTAATTATATACGATTCGATTATAAAATTTGTAGAAGCATTTCATAAATTTTTCCATAATTAATTTTTGAATATTGATTAATAAAAGAAAAATACAATTAAAAAATGAAAAAAAAAATTTAAATTATCTAAATATAAAGTATTATATTTTTTTTTCGTTTATTTTCATATAATTTAATTTATGAAATGAAAAATACAAATAACTAAATTAATAATTCATCGGATATTTTTTGATTTTCACGTATTACAGAGTAGCAATATTGGATTATCCTGTTTTATGATTGATTGGTATTATTTACCATCCAAAACAATTCGGGGACTCATCTTAATGATCGCCATTTCGAGTAATCCAACTAAAATAAGTGCCGGTGGAATAGTTGATTTATCTTTGTCAACTTTTGCAAATGTAAGTTTTTTAAATAAAATTTATACAATTCGAATTTCATTTGTTCATAATTAACTTTATGTTTATAGGTTCTAAAAACATCATTTGCATACTTAAATTTTATCCGAACTACCCTTATGTAATAACTATTTCATTATTATAAATAAAGAATAGTTATAGAATAATAAATAAAAAAATAGTAAATAAAAAAAAAAGGAATTATAGTAACATTCTTTATTTTTAAAACATTTTGCACGAATAGAAAACCAATATCCAGAAATATCTTTTTCATATAAGTAGAGAAGAATTATAATTTAAATTTTTTTTTAGAAAAAAATGATTATAAATTATCATCGTTTAATAATAATCATTTTTTATTAAAAAAATATAATTATAACTTATTTTATTAATAGTATTTGACTATGAATTATTACTCACTTTTGCATTTATGTAAATATTAATTATTTTATACAAAATTATATATAATAATACAAATTTAATTACTCTTTTAACAATTTTCATATAAGTTCTTAATCGCTGTGCAGTTATCACTTCAATCCGTTTCACTTAAATCTAATCATAAAGACTCTATAGCATCAGTTAGCTTCGCTACAATTTCAGACGTCCAGTTCTCTCTTAATAATCGATTATCGAAGTACTGAAAAAGATGCACACACGCAACATCGTTGAGCTTGCGCTCGTCGACCTTGCAATCAATGTTACCGAGCTTTCGTAAACAGTTGTTTTCAAACTGTCTACGAATATGCATCTCACTGTACTAAATGAGAGTGATTATAGAGCGCGAAATCTAAAGTATAAGGAAGATATCGCTTATGTAACCAAACACAACAAGTGGATTTTGAAATCTATCGGTATTTGGCCAATATTTCTAAAGAATGTCGCAAAATTTCTACCGAAAATCATAATTGGAATTAGTAATTTTGTCCTACTTTTCGCCATTATACCATGCATCTTGTATATCATGTTCGAAGAGAAGAATAACGTGATAAAATTAAAATTATGCGGTTTATTGATATTCTGCTCGATTGCGTTGATGAAGCACTGGGCGCTCGCCTATCGCAAACCAAAAATTAAGAATTGCATCGAACAGATAGAGAATGATTGGGAACAGGTCAGTAAATTATTTAAAAGAATTGAATAAGAAAAAATAAAAAGTTGAAAACAACTTGACAATTAATAATCGTAATTTTTAAATTAGTCAATATGTTATTTCTTAAAGTTAAAAAAAACATTTAGTGTTTCGTTAAGGGCACATCTCTACTGGATGTGACAGGTAGAATTATATGAGGATCGCGAAATGATGCTAAAATACGGGCAAGTGGGTAGAAATTTGACAATAATTTGTGCCGTTTTTATGTATACCGGTGGCATTATTTATCACACAATTTTACAATACAAAATCGGTACGTTTATTGATGAATATAATCGCACGATCAAGCCGGTAATTTATCCCACATATAGCGGCCTATTTAATGTTCAAAGAAGCCCTATTTATGAATTAATATATTTTCTTCATTGCACATGTGGATACATCATGTATTCCATAACTGCTGGTGCTTGTGGATTAGCCGCACTTTTCGCAACACATGCTTGTGGACAAATTGATATTATTATAGCTCGATTGAATGATCTTCTACACGGCAAATATGCCAAAGGAAAATTTAACCTGAACGCACGATTGATAAAAATTATTGAACATCACTTACAAATTTTAAGGTTCAAAAACAAATTTATTACTATCACTATAAAAGAATTTTCATCACTCGAACACGAGATTATATAATGTAATATATTGTAGTACATTCTGATTGATTACAGATTTTCAGCGACAGTACAAGTGATACTGCAAGAAGTATGCTTTCTAGAATTTATTGGTTCTATCTTTTTGATATGTTTACTTGAATATTATTGTATAACGGTACGTTTCTTTTCACTTTACATATAAGTTTCTACAAATTCAAGATTTTTTATTATAACAGGATTGGGAATTAAATGACACTATTAGTCTTACAACATATATTATATTATTAATATCTCTAACATTTAATATATTTATATTATGCTATATTGGTGAACTTCTAATGGAAAAGGTATATTTTTATGATGTTTATTAAATATTATTTAGAAAATAATTATATGCAATTTGGACAAAATTTGTAGAAGATTGTATAATTTATGTCATAAATTTTCTACTAACTTCTGAGTATTAATAAATAAAAAAAAAAAAATACAATAAAAAAATGGAAGAAAAAAATTTTAAATTATCTAATTTAAAGCTAAAATATATTTTTTTCGCATTTTTTTATTTAGTTTATAATATAATTAATATCATAGTTTATAATATTGATAATAATTAATGATAAAAATATCTAAATTAATAAATCACTGCATTATTTTTTTGATTTTTATATATTATAGAGTAGTAGCATTGGATTATTCTGTTTTATGATTGATTGGTATCACTTACCTGTTAAGACAATTCAAGGGCTCATCCTAATAATTGCCATATCAAATAGTCCAACGAAAATAAGTGCCGGTGGAATAGTTGATTTATCTCTGTTTACTTTTGCAAATGTGAGTCTTTACAAATATGTTATTTAATTAAAATTTAATATATAACACATGCAATACAATTCAAATTGCATCTATTATTTATACTTACAGATTTTAAAGACATCATTCGTATATTTAAATTTCATTCGGGCTACGATCATGTAATAATTTAGTAATTTTTGTTTTATAGTTAGTTTATATAAGATATTAAATAAAAAAAATGTATTATAAAAACATTTTTTATTTTTAAATTATTTTGCTTATAATTAATCATAATATATCACGAATGTGTATATACAGAACAAATAGACAAATAAATAGCTTATTAAAAGCGAAAAGATTTAAAAATATATTTTCAATATTTAAAGACAATAATTATAAAATGAATGCAATTTTTTTTTAATAAAAAATCACAAAAAAATAATTATGAATTTTTACAATATAATCGCTAAAAAAGAGAAAAATTACAAAAATAATTAATTATTAAATCTTATGTTTATAAGATTGTAAATAAGATGTAAATATTATTATTTTTTACGAAGATATACATAAAAAATATGCATACTTTTTTATTCTTAATTGTTCTGCACTGAGACTTCAATCGTTTCTATCTACATCGAGATACAAATTTAGATTCTATAGCATTGGAGAGTTTCAACTATAATTTCAAATATTCGTTTTTCTCTTGAGTAATAATTGATTATGCAAGTAGTGAGAAAGATCCACACACGCAACATTGTCGAGCTTGCGCTGAACGATCTTGCAATCAGTGAGTTGTTATAAACAGTTGTTTTCGAACTGTCTACGAACATGCATCTCACTACACTAAATAAGAATGATTACAGAGCGCATAATCTAAAGTGCAAGGAAGATATTGCTTATGTAACCAAACATAATAAGTGGATTTTGAAATCTATCGGCATTTGGCCATCAGTTCTTAAGGATGTCTCAAGATTTCTACCAAAAATCGTGTTTGGATTCAACAACTTTGTCCTACTTTTCTCTGTTATACCATGTATCCTATATATCGTATACGAAGAGAAAAATATTATGATAAAATTTAAATTAATCGGCTTATTAAGTTTCTCTTCGATTGCATTGATAAAATACTGGACACTCACATATCGCAAACCAAGAATCAAAGATTGCATCGAACAAATATGGATTGATTGGGAACAGGTCAGTAAATTAATTTAAAAAATTAAGTAAAAATAAAAAGTTAAAAAGCAACTTTTACGTTGCTTAATAAATTAATAATTGTATAATTTCTAAATTTTCCAACAGTTGGTTAAAAAACATGGTCACGAATATATTCGTATTATATAATTATAATCTTTGTTATATATTTTATTAAAACGTTTAGTGTTTCGTTAAGGGAACATCCTTATGGGATGTGGCAGGTAAAATTGCATGAGGATCGCAAAGTGATGTTGAAATATGGGCAAGTAGGTCGAAATTTGACAATAATCTGTGCCGTTTTCATATACACTGGTGGCAGTATTTTTCACACGATCTTACAATATAAGATCGGTACATTTATTGATGAATATAACCGCACGATCAAACCGGTAGTCTATCCTACGTACAAGGCCCTATTCGATGTTCAAAGAAGTCCCATTTACGAATTAGTGTATCTTCTTCATTCCATTTGTGGATATGTAATGTATTCAATAACTGCCGGTTCTTGTGGATTAACCGCAC